CAAACTGACGGGGATCTCTTTCCCATCGAACCCCACAGGTTTGACCTCGGCCATGTGGTTCGGGTCAGCCTTGGTATATCGCGTCTTCACCATGGTCCAGGCTTCCCTTGCACCTTGTTGGCAGGCTGATATCTTCCATAATCAAAAGCGCCGCCGCGCTCCCTTGAGCATCTCTACAAGCTCCCCATGCCTCCTGGCAGGGAGGCAGATGGCCACAAGGCTTGGGCAATGCCCTACATCACCTGCCGAACTTGCTCGTGCAGTTGTGAGAGCTCTGGCAGAAGATCACCCGCAGATCCGGGCATCTCCTCTGCGGGACGACCCGTCAGCATACCTACGGATATAACTTTGTTAGCCGGTTTCTTCGTTGAACTCTATAAAAGTTCGTTCAAGCACTTACTAAAAATGCCGCGTCGAAGCCTCTTATTCTCCTTTACGGAGTCAGCAAGCTGGGCCCGAACATCTTTCAGTTCAAGGCCCAGCCGGGTATTGGCATCTTGGAGATCGTTTTTCTCCCACCTAACCTGCGTAAGCACGCGCTCGCCAGCCTTTAGCTGTCGTTGAGCATGTTGCTCATACCCTCGCACGACCTCCGGATTCACTTCGGGATCATCTGCAGAATCTTAGATTTGCATGCATGCCGAATACTAACTGGTACATGTCATTCTTTTAGATAGAAACAAGTGTTACCAGATGGGGCCTTCTCGAACTCCTTCATTGCGGCAACTGCGGCCCGTAGCTAGGCTTTGCACTCCTCCAGCTCTTGAGACAACTGGGTATTCTTCTCCATAAGAACCTACGCAAACAATGATCCTTAAATCAGTTGTGCCAACTGTTTCAAGTCTCAGGGGCTACTGATATACATAATTATTAGATTTTCTTACCCGTATATCCTTTACATACTGGTCCGTGGCTCGGGCAAGACCATTTTGAGCAGCTCGGATGTACGCGTCTCCTGAGTTGAAGGCATCGAACGCCTCTTGAGTGAAACAAGCGTCGCGGAGTACAACCCGATGACGCTTGTGATTCATGGCACTCTCCACTTCGTAATTCATAGCAGACAGCCTATCCGCATCCTCTGTAGGAGGAACATCCGGTGTTGGCCCCACGTTAGCGTCTGCCTCTAAGTCCGACTCTGGAACCCGGCTGGTGGAGGCTTGGCCAGCAGGCTCTCCAGATATGGTCCGGCGAGTGTTTTTCCTGCCAGGAATCATGGACGTTATTATATTTTAAAAGACGACAACCACGGAGCGGGGTTCCTTTTCATACCTCTATGACGGCGTCTCAGTCCTGACCGCCTTCCTTTTAAGCCTACCCGGTTTCGGTGCCCCTTATTGGTGAGTCACTACGGGTTCGGCATGGCGTCCCGAGGGCCTTCCCTGTAAGACACCATATGTGTGCGGTAGGTGAAGTGCGAAAAAAGGGATCCTTCTCGGAAGTTGGGACTCCGGTTTTACTTACATGCGATGCTGGGAGCAGTCCAGGATAATCGGCTATGATGGCCACCAAGGCACCATTTCAGCTTAACTGATAGAATGTCCTGTCGATGAGCTCCAAAAATGTGTCCAGATCTTCTTCGAGTCCGGGATCGAGGCCCCGGTCAGGGTCCTCTAGTTGTGGAGACGAGCTGTGGACCTCCCTCACAGTTTTTCGCAGTTCCTGCTATGAAATAGCAAGGTAAATACTTATGACGAATAATGCGGGAAGGTCTGGAGTAGAAAGTAGCAGCTCACCCAATTTGGGGGGTTGTACATGGAGAATCCATCCCGTGGCTTAATGCGGATGAACTCCTCTTCCTCTCCTTTATATAAATCGGACAGTATTTTTGCTAGAGCAGCGATGGAGTCCGGTCCCTTACGACCACAGCGGGTGGCATGGTCTTCTCCATTAAAGTGCCACATGGGTTGTCCCCGATATTGAGGTGGTTGCACCCCCCCCCCCCGCGCGCATTATACATATTGACATAACCTTAATTATTGTCAATCCTGATTTGGCCAGCGTTTTAATCCGGCCCATCAGGTAAAGGACCTCTCTGTTATCTTCCTCCTGGGGGCTCCAAGGGCGCCAGCTGCGGCGTTTCTTCAAAGGGGCGTTATTGAACTCAAGAAGGCCCATCCGAATAGGGTCCGGAAGGGGGACGTCCTCCATATAAAACCACTCCGAAGGCCAGTCTTCGGATGTCTTCTTCGGAGTACCGGAGAGGTATCCGGTCCCGGTGATGCGCCATATCTCGGCTCCGCCCACTTGATATATTGACCCCTCCTGTGTACGGGGTACGAGGCAGAATAGCCTCTTCCATAGCTCGAAATGAGCTTCGCAGCCCAAAAACAGCTCGGAAAGGGCGACGTAGCCATCAATGTGTAATATGGAGGCGGGAGTAAAGTTATGCAGCTGGAGGCCGTAGAACTCCAGGAGCCCGCGGAGGAACGGATGGATTGGAAATCCAAGCCCCTTAATAAGTAAGGGACAAGGCATACCCACTCCCCCATGGATGGGTTGGGAAAGCTCTCCGCTTGCTCCCCGTCGTTGTAAGTGGCTAGTCCGGCTCGAACAAGGACCATATACGCTAGAGGGAGAAACCCCTAGGTCCGTAACTCTACTAATTGGCTGTGGGGGACGGAACACTTCTTCCAATGGCTTGGCTTAGGGCTACGGGATCGAGAGGAGGAGCTACGATGGCCGACCATGATGGGATGGACTTTTCCTGGCGCGCTCCGATGGATACCCGCTGTGGGAGGATGGTGTGATCTGGATCTGAGGATCCCCGTCTCTTTAAATAGACGATTTACTCACATGGTTAGGGTGGCAAGTGTAAAAATGCCCTGACTTCTCGCATTCACTCAACACGTGGAGGATAGCCATTATTAGGCGCAGAAGCCAAGGAGTGCAACATTCATGGGAAGCCGAACACTACTCGACAGGTATTGGGAATTTGAAGAAGAACCCGCCTTGCAATGACGAAGACAATCTACGCGCCGGACTCATCGTCATTGAAGCCTGGTTCAGGGGCTACTGAGGGAGTCCTGGATTAGGGGGTCCCCGGACATTCCGAACTATATCCTTTGGCCGGACTGTTGGACTATGAAGATACAAGATTGAAGACTTCGTCCCGTGTCCGGGTGGGACTCTCCTTTGCGTGGAAGGCAAACTTGGCAATTCGGATATGTGGATCTCCTCACTTGTAACCGACTCTGTGTAACCCTAGCCCCCTCTGGTGTCTATATAAATCGGAGGGTTTAGTCCGTAGGACGACAACAATCATAATCATATGCTAGCTTCTAGGGTTTAGCCTCTACGATCTCGTGATAGATCAACTCTTGTAATACTCATATCATCAAGATCAATCAAGCAGGAAGTAGGGTATTACCTTCATCGAGAGGGCCCGAACCTGGGTAAACATTGTGTCCCCCGCCTCCTGTTACCATCCGTCTTAGACGCACAGTTCGGGACCCCCTACCCGAGATCCGCCGGTTTTGACACCGACAAATGGCTCTCCGTCGATGTCCACCATCTTCGCCATCGGTGTCTTGGCCATCATTGTATTGCTCGTGATTGTCTTGGCCTTGGGTACCTTGGTCGTGATCTTTGCCGGCGGCATCTTTAGTCTCGTCGTCGTTATAACCTTGACCAACCTCATTGATCATCTCCTCCAAGACTTCCTCATAGCACCTCAGATTGGCCGACGCCGGGGTGGGCGTTTCGTCAACAAGTTGCGGGCATCGGGTAAATTTGTCGGGGAAACCACCCCAGGTGCTTCCTTTGCGTTCTGGCGGACTCGCTGGTGACAAGTATGGCATTGAGATCAATAGGGGGCACCACGGGGACGACCGACACGTAGTCACCAATTTTCGGCGAGCCGTCCCGTGACGACGTGGAGAAGCGGGATGCGGCCGAGTCATGTTTGGGAGGAACCCATATGTCATCGGCGTTATGGACACATGCGGCGACCTCGGAATCCGGGGCGGGCAGGTCGCCGCCGATCTCGTGTTGGCCGCCATAGCGGCGGCGGCGAGAAGGGACGGCTCGCGGTACCCCAGCAAGAGGATGGCCTACTACACGGCCTTGGTGACGAGGGCCTCGCTCTCCGCAGTGGTGGGGCCTGAGCATCTGTGGCGGCGGCTTCTTTTTCCACCTTGTCCTTCCTCCTCCGGCCAACCCTCTTCGCCGTCTGGATGACCGTATCCTCCGGGGTGCTCACCTTTGGCTTCTTCGGGCCCACGACATGGGCAGACACAACGGGGCCGGAAGGGAGCAGTTGCGGGATTGGGCGCGTCGGCCATGGCGGGAGGCCGAGGGTGTTTTGGTAGAGAGTGGAGGGAATGACGTTGTTGTGCCACAGATAGGCGGTTCAAGGAAGGACAAGGGAAGAGTAATGCTAGAGATACGTAGATTTACATATGATTTACAAGCAGATGAGTTTTGATTGGAGATTAAGAGGGAGAAAGGGTCCACCCAGAAACTTAGGGGTGTTATGTAAATATATCTCCTTCTTAATTTCCAATCAAAATTCATCTCCTTGTAAATCCTATGTAAATATATGTATCTCTAGCATTACTCTTGCAAGGCGAAGGTGTCTGCGCAGACGCAAACTCAACCAATTTATGTTGAAAAATGAGTACGAACATCCGTCCGTTTGTGTTGACGTTGGCCCGTGTATTTTGTTTGCGCGGATCCAAACGGACGATGCGTCCTTGTATTGGAGTTGGCCTCACCTCCGAGGATCCGGTGACATGGCATCGTTTCCGCTGAAAGGAGCACCCGCATGGCCAGTCAAGATCGTTGGAAGGTCCAATCACCAATTTTCCGAATTTGTCTCGGGCATGCGCGGCTGCCGTGCCGCCATGACGGTGAAGTGTGCCGCAACCAAAGATGATCACTTCACTTCACGCTGAGCGCAGAAATGCTGTTCGAGAGCGGAATTAACACCCCATATTCACACATCAATTGAATGCAAGTCCTGTTTTTACCACACAAATAACTATCCTCGTGTCTTTTTTTGACTACACTCTGCTACTCTGACAGCTCTTCACCGCATCCGTACCACCACCATTCATATCGCTACAGCTACCGCCCAACCCCTCGCCGCCGTTGCCGCTGCTCCCGCCACCCATGTGGCCGCCGGCGCGGCCGTTGTTGTAGAAGCACACGACCTTGCACTTGACCACGCCGGCGCCGGCGACGTACACGTGGAACCCCGGCGCCACCATCATCTTCACGCTGGCCGGCTCCAGCCGCCCGGCGCGCGAGGCCGCGGCGTCCTCCATGAACCGCGAGTCGAAGCGCGCGCCGCGGTCCACGCGCACGACGGGCAGCGGCGGGTGCACGGACCGCGCCAGCAGGCGCACCCCCCACACGCCCTTGGCCGCCAGGAAGAAGGCCTGCAGCAGCGGCTCCGGCCAGGGCCGCGCGCGCGCCCACCCGAGGGAGGACACCACCTCGCTCATCTTGGCGTCGCAGAACCGGCTCAGCCCGTCGCTGTAGTGCTTCGTCCCGTGGACGAGCACCTCCTCCCAGGTCAGCGCCGCCACGGCGTGGTACGCCGCGAGGTTGGCCTCGCACCGGCCCGCCGGGTCCGCCGTGTGGACGTCGCCCTCGGTGTCCAGCTCGAAGTCCGCGTGGAAGGCGCGGTTGAGGAAGCTCTCGAGGTTGGGGCCGGGGCTCGCGGGGCTGCGCAGGTGCGTGGAGAGCGCGCGCGTGAGGTTCCGCACGGTGGCGCGCGCCGTGGAGACGGCGCGGAGGAAGGACTCGACGGGGAAGACGGCGGCGGCCGGCGTGGGGAGCACGCGGGCCTCGAGGCGCGCCAGCTTGAGCTCCAGCTCCGCGAGGGACTGCTTCAGCCGGGAGGTCTCCTCCACCGCGTCGTCCCGCGTCCGCGTGGCCGCGGCGAGCCGCCGCGAGAGGTCGGCCGCGGCCAGGCGCCACTGCTCGCCCTCACCCCCATCACCCTCCGAGGCCGACGTGGGAGACGGCGAGGAGCGCGGAGTGGAGCGTCGGGTGAGGGACACGAACAGCGAGCGGATGACGGCTCCCGGCGACGCCGGCGCCAGGGCGCGCTGCTTGAAGCGGCAGTCGGAGCAGGACACCGCCGCGACATACGCGGCCGAGTCGGCGGCGCCGCCCTCGCTCCTCCCCCGCCGCGGCGTCTTCTTGGCACCGCCGCCGCCGCCATGGCCGTGGCCGTGCAGCGGCGTCGCGGAGTGGGCGTACTTCTGGTCCAGCTTCTCCGAGGCCGTCGTCGGGACACCACCATGCCGCTTGGTCTCGGACACCTGACGATTACAGCTTAGCATTGCAGCTCACAAGCTCACAAGCAACATACACACATCGCAAGGAGAAAAGGTAGAAGCAACGCGAGCTCACCGCAGAAGTGAAGGTAGGAGGGGAAGGGGACGGGGACGACACCATGGCTGCGGATCGAGCTCCGTCTACGAACAACAGCGACCTTTTGTTGGGCTGGGACTTGCGGCGGTCGGACGCTAGCGCAGGGATGGTGGCTGCTTTTGCCTCGCGGTGGTGCGGGCGGCTGCGGTGCGGTGTTGGTTGCCTCGCCTGCGTCTGTACTGTACGTGTACGTGTACGTGCGACGACGTCTTTTTTCGCAGTCTACTTCACGGGGAGGGGAGCTGAGGCAGGCAGGCAGGACGACGCGGGGCATGAATGCCGGTCAGTTCGGGTCGTTGGTGCGTTTAATGCCGCCCGCCTCCGTCTGGACCATCTCCCCCCTCTCTCTCGATTTATCCCCTCCTGCTCTCAGATTCTCCATTTGTTTTCCTTTTTGAAGCTCAGATTTTCCATTTGTGACATTGTGATGAGACGCGCGCCAGCCATCCCTCCCTCGGCTCCCTGGGTTCTGGAGGCAGAAAAGTAGTAAAAGGTTTTGCGTCGCCATGCTACGTCTGTCAGCTTCTCCCGCAGCCGCGCGAGCTCTAGCTCTAGCTCGTCCGTCCTCACCTCCGGCCAGCAGACGAGGTTAAACGTCCTCACAACATTTTCTTACCGTACAACGCAAAGAGAAAGAGAAAGATACGAGTACTCGTATCGTAATGACTGGGGCGCAAATGCTCGTACGTATCATGAGTTTTTGGAGCGGCACATTAAGAGCGGTCGGCACGGCAGGTTGGGGAGGGAGGACACCATAAATCTGGACATCGACACGACCCGTCTGGACCGCCCCGCACGCTTCAACATGCCGTCAATGAATTGCGGATCGTGGCGCGACCCCGAGTCCCGTCTCCCGTGTGTGGAACTGAATGCGGTGGATTCCGTCCTCCCAGTCCGATGACATACAGTACTAGAGAGAGATATTACGAGGCTCCGATCAACCTTTTCCCGCGTCTTGTCACTCGCTGCGTCACTGCAGCTGCCGGTGACATGCGTGAATGCCTCCAGCGCTCCAGGCGAGGTGCTCCGTCTGAGATTAAAAAGTCAAAGAACGCATGCTCGTCTCAGGCTTCAGGTCTGCCGTCGTTAGTATCACTGCTCATAAGTTGCTATCGTGACGAAAAACTCTTCTGGAGCCGCTGTGCCCACCACAGCAGTTTAGACCGATTTTGTCGAATAACTGGAGTGTAGTTTGCAGTAGTACCATTAGATTTGTGGGAGTAAGATTGCGACGGGGGAAGCGGTAGTTTTCGTGAATTAAACGAGCAGTGGACTTTGCAGGTGAGGCACCTCGGTTTGGACTGGTTCTTGCCGTGACGGCGTGACCTTGAAGGAGACAACACTGACCCGGTCCAAGAATCAGAGGGGGTTCATCTTAAATTTGAAGTTGACTGCACCATGAGTGACAGTCCATGACGGCACGAGATGATCCCTGGACGAGACGAGACAACACAGCGGGTTCGGGAATCAGGAGTCGTCCGCACGGCCGATTTCCGGATGCCGATTCACGACCCGTCTTCGGGGTATGGAAAGGCGGTGGTGGACCGTGGACGCAACTCAACTGCATGCTGATGAACAACCTCATCAACCTCGCCTCTCCATCACCAATGCTCCCCTCCACATGCATGGCAAGGCGATGGGGACGTCGACCCTCTGCAAAGACGAGACGGAGATCGCTAACGCTGCACACGGATGGACAGCAAATACCACGGCAGTACCGGCCTGCTGGCACTATGCATGTATGCCCACAAGGCCACAACCACAACCACAATCGTCGCATCACATTATGCAGAGATAGCTACGGGCCACAGTACGCGCCGATCGACCCCGACCGACAACCGCGCGCCATGGCGCGCATCGCGATCCCGGTCGACCAGCTGCGAATTCAAGCCAGCAGATCGATCGGAATTCAAAGCGGCGACGAGATCCGAGAGAAATTAGTTGGCCGTGCCTGTGCCGCCCATCCCGTTTAACTGGAAGAGTGGAAGGCGCATGCCGCTCGCGACTGTGAGGTGAACCGACGTATCCCCAAGCGCATGGGCTGCACAGCGAGGCGTGGTACCATGGCCACGCAGCCTCGGCATGGCCGCGCGGCGTACTGCACAGAGTCTGGTGTGGTCGATCGTAGTAGGCGCCAACCGAACCACCGGAGTTAATGATGTAAGTTGCGCGATCGGACAACGAGCATGCTTGCGGGGTTGCAGTCGCTCTGGAGCGGCACCGAACGACCGGTCGATCGACCACTGCTCGTTGATCCAGTAGCAGTCGAATGCGTGAGAATTCGGCAGCTCACGGGTGGTAGCGGAGTCCGGGGCGCCGGGTCCGGCCGGGTAACCAAACCATGCAACTAGCTGGAGTTGGATAATTACTACTCCCTCCGTATTGTCAAAAGCGTTCTTATATTATGGGACGGAGGGAGTATAAGCCAAGCACGGCACAAAACCTGTGCGATCAGGGCGCATGGAATGTAGAACCACACGATCGGTCGATCAATCAATAATTTGAATTAGAAAACTGGCAAGCATGCATGCTCGACAAGACATGCGTAAAGACGACATGAGACCATAAACAGTCATCAGCTAACATGTAGTATCATCCCAAAAACCCTTCCAAACCCACTACAGTCTATACAGTGTCCTCTACAAACTTCCTCCAAACTATACAGTGGGATGTATTGCTCGGGCACCATATACAGAACATGGGAAGAATAGTTAAAATCGGAAGCATGTTCGGGTATAATTCACCACCAACAACATACAGTCACAAACTGTGCATGTCTAGTCATTCAATAAATTTTGGACCTTGGAAGGCTCGCAACTAGCCCATCTCCTGGACTTCCTTTTTTATGAGAAGGCCAAATGCATATCGTAAGATTGTCCAACCCTCTCAAGACCATCCTTACAAAAGAAAGTAGCACACATGTCCTTGGATATATCGTTGTCGTCTTCCTCCTGCATTCACTGGTGGTCATGAGCAAAGCTCGATGCTACCTCTGAATCTCCAGAACATCCTCGGAACCAGGGAATGTTGTAGATGCATCAGCCGAGAAGTCACCGACACGAGCCAGAGGAAGTTGGTGACAATGAGCTGAAGATCGATTGTCGTCACAGAGAAGAAAGCAACGTGGAGGACCGTATAATCGACCCCGATATGCCCAGACATAATCGGGGAGGCCTGACCTCACTAGCTTCACGACGAAGCCGAACCTAATCATGCTTCGCCGAATGGAGAAGAAACCATAAGACCAAGACATGAAATGTTGTAGTCCACTCCGTCAAATGGCGATGTAGAAGACCACCTAGACAGAACAAAGACAAAAACAGGGCCCTAGATCTTGCCCTGACCAAAATTCCACACACCCTCCACCAACACCAATCAGCATCACCGAAATGAGGACATGACATGGAGAAATTATTTCAACCTACCGGTGACAGCATCGTCTCACCACGGTCGGCCAGCCACATAGATTGAACCCTAACCAATGCTAGGACGACGGACAATGGAAGCACCCAAAGGAGAGGGGAGCCAGCTAGCTAGACATACGGGGAGTCCCTGGTCACGTGTGTCCCTTGTGAGAGGAAAAACTAGCTAACTAGGGTTGTATGTGGACGTGGGGCGGCGGGGCTACTAGAGTCGATGTCATTGCCGAAAATGTTGTCGGCAATGACTTTGACGGCGACAGGAGGTGTTAATTGTTGGAGAAAGAAAAAACGTGAATACGCAGAGCTTGCATGCCATTTTATTGATAGAAGAATTAGCAGAGTATATAGTGCGGGTACATGGACTACGCATGCATGAATTGGTGTGAAAAGATAACCGGAGCATAAGACACGGGGTGCTCATACAAGACTAACACTAGCCTAACTCTCCGACACCAAAGTAGCTAGGCCAATGACGCCAGCGTTGGCCCATTGCCAAGCATCCTCTTAGATGTCTGCACCAGGCGCGAGACTGACGGTCGTTGGTTATCAAAGATGCCACCATTGTGATGCTTCTAGAGCCACCAGACAGTGAGCACGATGAGGAAGAGAGGCCTCGTCGATGCACTAGTAGAGCTTGAGAGCTGGAGGTGGCCCACCGGTCAGCAAAAGGACATCATTGAACATGGTAGAGTGGAAATGGAACGACACCAGAAGAGCACCTCGTGCCACACCTGGCGGGAGAAGGAGCAATCGACGAGAGGTGCTGCGGGACCTCAAAAACCTGGTCGCACAAGGAACATAATTCCTCATGTAGGAGTCTTCAGGGCTAGACGATCAGCGATCCAACATCTATCCTGGAGGGGGAGCCACGTGAAGACCTTGACTCGCAAGGGCGCCGACGTCTTCCAGGAGATCCGCCAAAAGGGGTCTGGGATCAAGCCGTAGAAGAGAGCAAGGTAGCATGATTTGGCCGAATAGAAACCAAAGTCCATCCGCCTCTAGAGTAGCTCACATGGGCTGTCAAAGAGGGAGAAGTGCCACAAGAGGCGCAAGAGTTCCATGAACTGCAACAGGGTAGCCGGTCCGAGTGCGATTTGGATGTCTCGAACCAAAGCACGACCTCGGAAGCCCCTAATGGGTTGTGCAGTGCCGATAATAACACTTGGGAAAGAGGGCAAAGATCAGAGGAGCGCTCTTCGAGATGGACCTCCCCTCAATCCAATGATCAGTCTAAAACCACCATAGGCTGTCATCTTGTAATGACCACAATGTAGATGGGCGAAAGATCTGACCGGCTTCGGGGCCGAAAGGGATGGTTAGAAAATGATAGGGGAAGAAGAGATATGCTTTTACAGAGGATTGCCTACCGCGATAGAAAGTAGTTTTTCTAGAGGTGGGGGTACCTAATGGTGAAACATCCACGGTTGGTGTGGTTTTGGATATTGGTGTATATGTTTCACGTATAAGAAGCATGAATGAAATACATAGGGATATGTGTGCTCCCTCTGCATGCTTTTGTCAGCTTTTGTGGGGAGAGAGAAGGTGTGCAGAGAAGAATGGTTGGATGCATGTTAAATATTGTCCCTGTCCACATCAAAAGAT